GTTGTCGTCAACTAGAGGAGAACCCATCGGATGTTGGGTATGGTTGGGCTGCGGCATAGAACCAAAATAAACGATGGGCTCCAGTTGAACCTTGGGCATGCTAATCGATAGTTCCATTGACTGATTCGGAGGACCATGTGGCACGGCCTTGAGTGTTTGATCCATCAGTGGATTGGGAAGAAGGCCACCTTCTGGCTGCGGCGTTGACGAACTCGAGAGCACCGCTGAGGTAGAAGAAGGGTCAGTCGTTCCAAGCTGAAAGTGATTGATAAGCATCTGAACGGAGTCTTGGAGTTTGTTGATGGCAAGGGCCATCTTCGCACGATGTGTGTGAGCCTGTACCAACTCGTCTTTGAGGTCAACACTGAGTTTGGAGAGTGGGGTTTCTATGCCAGCGATATCGTCAGAAACTTTGTCTTGGAACTCATGAAATTGTTCTGCAAGACTGGCCACGGTTTGGGGTGCCATGGTAGAGAGCAAACGCAAACTGATGTAGTACAGCCCGTAGGTATTAGATTAAGCATCCAAACAATAGAACATAGAAGAGTATAAGAGATCGAGGAGACGAAAATATAGATCGAAAAGACGAAAGAAAGGGTAGAACAGTAGAACAGTAGAACAAGAAGAATATTGGAGGTCGGGGAGACGAAAATATAGATCGAAGGGACGAAAGAAAGGACAGAAATCACATAGTTTTAAGAGAAGGTTTACTCAATATCCAAATCTGAATTTTAAAGAACTACATGGGGGTATTTATAGCAAACTAAAACCTAGACATAATAGGATAAAAATCCCTTGCTTAAACGGAAATCCTAACCCAAATAAAATAGGAAACTTAAAACTAGAAATCTGGAAATCTGGAAAAGTAGAAATCCTACTAGAATTTGGAAAACTAGAGAATCTAGGAAACTAACAAATATATTAGGAAACTAATAAATTTAGGTCCTATGCTTCCTGCATCATAAACTATATGGACTAAGCAGGTCATTAGACTAGTAGCTCTAACACATAAGATCAGACGATTTGTTTTCTTGAAACAAAAGCATCAGAAGATTGTTATAAACTATAATTGAAATACGTTCTAGGGTCATGTATTTGGAAAAATAATAATAAATCCATCCATTTAAAGATAATGATAAATCACTTGTGATCTGCTAAAAAAAAAGAAATAAGGGTGTCAATTAACATTCTGTAAAAAATATATATATATTTAAAAACATTGGACAACGGAAGTAATTGACCAAGTGAAATTGTACCTGTCCTACAACAGCTTCTGCATTAACATCACCTACCACGACATCTTTAGCACGGATGATCCAGTGCCTATAATGCAGTTGGCAAGAGCTGAATGTCATTCCATTGATGATGCATCCTTCAGGAAGAAGGGACATGCGGATTGAATAAGCAAACAAATACTTTTCAGAAGTATGTTGGAGGTTAGCCAGTTCCGGGACAAACACAGCAGAAGCACGAACCTAAGATAGAATTCAAGTAAGAATAAATTTATATAACAGAAAAGTGTAAGTAGTCATTATAATTGCATTCAGAATTAATGTCAAATATATCATTATAGAGAACAGAATTTTTGTAAGAATAATGGACAGGCCAATAGAGTATTAGAACAATAAATATAACTGTAATTTTTCATAGTAATGTTCAAAAACTTAATAGTTTCTCATACATTGCAGGTGGAGGGATGCTGCCAGTAAAAAAAATATTTTATCCAGCCTGCCTGAAGCTCATGTCTGACACTTGAGATGCCTAAGATTTTTTAATATGTGGAAACTAGTGGGCCCTGTTTCAACAACATAGACACTACCTGCTTATTTCTCAAGACAAGAGGTAACCAGGAATTAAATATGGGTTTGCTGACTTGAACTGAGACATGGTCACAAACTACGAGCAGTTAATTCTCGATGCCAGTGCCCATTTGACAAAGTTAAATTTGTTCATTCCAATATACATCAAATGCACATATACTTGCAATATTTGCTTGTTTTCTAGTAGGCCCAAGAGAGAGGAACCAAAAGAAAATTATTATGCAAAGAATTGCACATGCACATGTTCAAACACACACAATTGCCTACCTTTACACCATTTGTTATCGCAGTGGAACAGAGAGGGGATTCTTCTGGAAATTGACTGATGCTTCTGAAATTTTCTTCCTGACGAAGTTTAATAATGCCATTTTCTAAACGACGGCCGTGTTCTTCTAACCAAAGCAGCATTGCATCCTGCTGTTGATCAACACTGCAATCATGAACTGAACTAATCAACGCATTTGGTACACAAGGAAGCATTTCCCCATCAGCTCGAAGATTTCTGGTACCAACATAGAGTTGACCACTTGTACAGTTCAGGAAAAACTTCTTAATATATGTAAAAGATGCAGCCACAACAACACACTTCGATCTGACAGAAAAACCCTGTTTGCGTGTTATCTCCTCTGTTTCTGAGATGACCTGACGTAAAGGCAACAAATACACATTTATCAAAAGGTCATAAAATGAATAACCACCTATGATGCCCAATGGACAGCCAACCCCGCTATTTTGAAAATGTTTGTCCTCAAAATCTTGACCATCATGAAAACGATAGAGGATCCTCGTTGGGAGAGGAAGTTTCACTTTCAAGATTTTCTCCAACTCTTGAATATCAGCTTCTGATGCACCCTTGTTCAGTGTAGACTCAGCCTCTGGAAAATTAATAGTCAACCAGTTTCTAAGTTTGTCCCAACATTTTTTGACTCGCTTCACAAGCGACCAAGGATACATATTAAAAGCTTCACGCCATAATTGGTAACTTTCCTGGAGAGAGCAGGTGTGTTAGTACAGAGATAATATCCTTTTAACAGATATCAAATATATAACCAACTAAAAAAGGCCTCAATTCTAGTTACTTCAAGGATGAAACATTAAACCACCATTTCCACAAAGCTCCATGAGTGTTACCCCAAAAGAATAAGCTGTTAGGGAATGAGTCAACTGTGTGTATCTAGCATGCCTTCTCTAGCCCCATTGTGTACGTGGAGAGTTAAATGCAGACAAAGAGAGACATACAAGTGCATCCCCATGGTGCACCTTCCAGTGAAGGAGTTCGGGAATGGAGATTGGAGGTTTTGAATCCAGGACCTCTGCAGAGTAAAGCTCTGATACCATGACAACCAATTGACCCCAAAAGATTAAGCTGTTAGGTAATGGGCCAACAATTTATCAAGCTAACAACAAGGGCTAGATTTCTTGGAAATTAAAAACATCTCTCACACCATGCAACGAGGACCAAATATGAATCTATAACACAACTTAAATGAAAAAATAGACACCGAAGTTGACTGTGTGAAGTGCATAAAGATATAATTGCACATATATAGACCAGTAGATAGTACTTATCATCACTCAAGGGGCCCATTATAATTACCCATAAACGCCTAAGAAATAATGCTGCTTCAATAGTATTGACACTTTTAGACTCAAGAAGCAAGTTCGATCGCGCAACAAAACCAAAAGTACCATAAGTCTGGAGTATTTTAACTAGACCTCATAAATTACAAGGTTATAATTTCATAGGATAATTGCCCAGACCACTCCTTGGAATTTGAGTCTTTTACCCAAATTACCAATCAACCAATCAGTCATGTTGATATGCAGTCTGTGCAAAAGCTTATGATGAATTTCCTAACACATATCCACAAATGAAATCAATCTAAACACAAAAGAGAAAGACTTTGGAATCTTTTAACAACATTGCAGTCAAATGAGGACCCCATGAAACCGACCCAGAACCCAAAATACATAAATAGGCACTAACTCACCAGCCAGACTGAAAATTCTGTAAGTTTCCTAGTTGCCCATGATCACAAACTCGGGAAATTTGACGCCAAATAAAAATTCAATTCAAAGGCAACAAATTTGAAAAGAAATACATGGTTTGTCTTTAAGTGGTAAGAATTTGATGGGAATACCTTGAAAGAAGGGATGAGGTTGCCATGAGGGTCGAGGGGTTGCGAAAGGTCGAGGTCTCGAGCACAGAAATGGGACCAAAGAGACTCTTCAGAGGCCGAAGCTCTGAGTTTCTTGCTCACGCAGGCTGCTCTTGCTGAGTTTTCGGCTTCTAACTTGCTTAGGATTGTGTGTAGCGCTAGATCACCCACTGCCTCCAAACCCATCATCTCTTGCTTAGGCTTCTGCAGCGAGAGGTGTACTGCTACTTACGCTCTCCAAGGCAATGTCAGAATGTTCTATAGCGACATTTGTTTTTGGGTACACTCGGCCGACCCGACCAAATAAATTTGGGTGCATTTAATTGACATTTTAAAGAATTATTTTGGAACAAATAAGTCTTATTTAATTAAGATTTTCAAATAATTTAAATAAGTTTTATGGTATTCTTCTCAATTAGGATTTTAGAGCGTTTAAAAAGATTTTGTTTAAGTGCCAGCGTTCATAGAACTTGATGGAACTTTAGAATTCGTATAGAACTTAGTAGACTTTCAAAAGACTTCAGTATAATTTTTTAATAAACTTTCTTAAGATTTGTATGGCTTTTATTCCGAACTTTGAATATGGATATGTTTACACATTGGCCTCTTATGTAGACAATATATTTCATTTTAGGGAAATAGCTCAAAATACCACTCATTTTATAATTTTTTGTTAAAATAACACCCTTCCGCAAAATTTTTAAAACTACCACCTATAAATATATCTTTATTGTAAACTGATTGCACCCATATCACAATTTCATAATTCTCTCTCAACTCTCTTGTCTCTGTGGTTTTGTTTGCAATTTATGTGATATAGGTATATTTCATTTCCTACACTGGGAATCTGTTAGTGGACTTAGTGAAGCATACAGCTTTCTTAAGATTTCTCAATTCAGTTTTGACTTAGTTTCGTTTAAATAAGTTCTGCAGCAATTCTACTTTTCGGCTTAGCATTATGTTGTTATTGGAATTTGGAACTTCATACTGTTTACAAAGGGTTAAGATATACTTTACCCACATGACCATTTCTTTTGCTGGGGAGTTCCTGCAAAATGCAGAGGAGCTTATAAGGATGGGCCTGCACCCAAGTGAGATCATAAGTGGGTACAATAAAGCCAGAAAAAAGGTTTGCCAATGATTTGCTAATCAGTTACTGATTTGGGTTATTAGAATTCTTCTGTTATGATTATTTACTCGCTTGTTGGAATATTGTAGACGATCGAAATCCTAGATGAACTGGTAAGCCACATATCCATTACGAAAGGTTTCTTATCTTTCTTTTTCAGTCAATGGTTGGTTTCAAAAGGATAACAGAGTCACAATGCCAACCTTTTTATTTTTTATTTGTTTTACAAATAGTATTGATGGTTTGCATTTAAGATTTTTACGAATTATAGCATTCGAGAATAAGTGAGGATTTCTTTGGATAACTGATAAATAGTAACTTGGAAACATCTCAACTTCAAACATTTTGGGTATTTAATGAACTTTAGATAGTTCTGTTTCATTAATTTATTGAAATCCATATGTTTCAGTTGGCCAAGAAGTTGTTTCGTATGAGATATAGGCATCAATCTTCTTTCTTGGGTTGTTTGTTGCAGGTTCTTTGCTCTCAAGTATGCTACAGATGCTACCTGCACTGTTTTGTGTGTATGACAATTGACTATCTGTGCTTGTATTGCAGGTTAGGGATCTTTTGTTCCATTTTAGTAACAATTTTGTTTAGGAGAAAAAGCAACATATTGTAGTTCATGCTTTGGAATTGCCACTCTTCTGTTACGATGGACATGTGGTATGCCCTTGTTGGGTAGGTTTGGATTGAAACCATGGTCGAGTGCTTGAGCCATGTTTAGTGAGAAGCTTGAATGGATTTTCTTTGGGAAATTGACTTACATAGTCACTAAAGATAAACCTTAATCAGAAATAATCACTTTATAAAACTTAACCACAAATACTCACTTTCTAACTTGAAAGTACCAAATTACCCTCCATATAAATACTTCAATATTCACCTTTTGTACCCTCTCAAAAATTTATTTCTGATCTGAACCCAACTCTCTAGCTCTTCTCTCCTTGCTGCACGTAGAGCATCTGAGACCAGCACCTTAATTCAAGAGGAGACCACACCCACCCCTCAAAAGCCTACACAAAGAAGAAACATAAGGAATAGAAAAGGACGCATCAACAACAGCAACCCGCTAGACCCGTTGCCACCAGGTGCTCTCTTCTGATCCTTTGTCCCTTTGAGTTCTAAGCTAATTTTCCCCTTCTTTAATACCCAGGAATCATTTTGCAAAATAACACAACAAATAAAAATCAAATCTTGATTTTGTTTAGCATAGAAATAGGTAAGTTAGGTCAGTTTTTGCTTCAATTTTGATTTTTAGGGGTTTGGCTTCTAATCCTGTTTGTTTGAAAGGAAAGGAAATAAGTTTTTGGAAAAAATTTCACAAGCAAATAATTTGCAATTTGAGAGTAAAAGGACTGTTTTTT